TTTGGATCTATTCGTCATGCATCTGCTGATGCACGATAAAGTGCCATTGGCTTTTCTGATGGCTTCATCACACTGCCGACTCAGGTTCATCTTGGAGTCCACTTGGACTCCAAGATCCCTTTCCACTTCCGTGCCTCCAAGCAGGTCATTTCCTGAGCAGTAGGTATGCTGGTATTTTTCCTCCCTAGGTGCAACACTTTGCATTTCTCCTTGTTGAATTGCATTCTGTTGTTTTCTGCCCATATGTCCAACCTGTCCAGGTCTGCTTGTAGTTGTTCCCTGCCCTCCGGTGTGTCCACTTCTCCCCACAGTTTTGTGTCATCTGCAAACTTGGACAGAGTACACTTCACTCCCTCGTCCAAGTCGCTGATGAAGACATTGAAGAGTATTGGTTCAAGGACCGAGCCCTGCGGGACCCCACTGCCCACACCCTTCCAGGTCGATACTGACCCATCCACTATGACTCACTCTCTGGGTACGACCCTCTAGCCAATTCGCCACCCACCAGACTGTGTAGTCATCCGAGTCACAGCCTCTTAACTTGTTCACCAGTATGGTGTGGGATACCGTATCGAAGGCCTTCCTGAAGTCTAAGTAAACAACGTCAACCCCTACTCCTGCGTCCAGGTGTTTTGTAACCTGGTCATAAAAAGAGACTAGATTAGTCAGGCATGATCTACTTGCTACGAACCCGTGCTGGTTTCCCCTCAGCATAATTTTTCCTGCCGGGCTCTTGCAAATGTGAGCCTTGATAATTTTTTCAAAGACTTTGCCAAGGATGGAGGTGAGACTGACTGGCCTATAGTTGCCTGGGTCCTCCTTCCTCCCCTTCTTGAAAATGGGGACCACATTGGCCCTTTTCCAGTCCATTATATAAGCCTGTAGTACTGCATACATAATAATGAAAGCAGAAGCTCTGCATGCCCTCTACATGCATTTCCATGACATCTGTTGTGTCCATGGGACAAAAAACAGGAATTGCAATTTACATTTTATCAGAGAATCTCTGATCAAGTCACAACTGCTAACCTTCTCAAAACCTCAGCCTACAAATACTTTATGCATATTCATGATTTCATAAATATAAACTTAGACTCATAAAACTAAGTCTATGTGTAAGTGCTTAAAGGATCAGGGCCAGTGTGTGTTATCCTTGTACCCGGCACTCTTGTGTGGCAGCTCATAGCCATCTTAAAAACAGTGACAAATTATACCTCCAGTGGAACCGCTGCATAAATAAAATGACATAAACTCTAATGTTAGTGTTTGCTAGATTAGGCCATATGTAATTTTAATTTGCTAGAATGAATGTGAAGGGGTGAGAGAAAAATCAGACCTGTGATAGAAATCTGCAGGCATAATTTACCTAGGTTTCTCCCTGGGCTATCATGAAATACTGCACAAGGAATTAGAAACATAACTGACCATTGCTAAAGTAACAAGTTGATAGGAAAGTAAAATGCAGAGTTCACCTTGAACAAAATTTCCTCTGCGGTGGCAGCTTGATCTAGCTGTGAAGCAACTGGAGTGGGCATTTGTATAATTCAAGGTTGTCCAGCTTCTGAGTGGCTGAGGGTGGCAAGACCCCCAGCCACACACCATGTGGGCCACATACTCCTGAGCTCCATGCTGTGCAGGCTGCACACTGTGCCATGTAAGCCCCCCTGTTTTCAGTACAAAGGTCCCCACTGCACCATGTGAACCCCACCCCCAGTGTACCTCATGGGCCCCCAGTGTTTCATATGAGCTCATGCTGCACAATATGGACCCCCACCACACTGACTTGCCATGCCACAGAGGTATCCTGCATGCATGGACATGCTGCGCCCTGTGGCCTCTCCCTCCTGTTCCTGCTGCACAGTGGGCACTCCCACGCCACCATACCAGCACGGATGCCACATGGGGTCCATGGGTCCCTCCAAGTCCTCTGGCCATGATTCCTTCAGTCCCACAGGCTGCACTGCTCCACCCTGCCTCCTGGAGTGGGGACAGACAGCAGAACCCAGAGGAGTCAAGGGGAGCAGCGGGGACTCCAATGGTAACAGCAAGAAGTAAAAACGGAAACAGTGACTGCACCAGGAGTCCAGGGGTCACAATTTAATTCCTCAGAAGCTTCATGTAGCCTGTGGGCCACTAGTTGGGCAGCCTTGATTTAGATATTAAAATATTTGCTGACTGATTAGCTGTAAAAATCATGCAATTTGTCTTTGTTGGCTTAGTTGAAAAGTCCTGAAGCTGCATTGTGTCTAATAGCATAATTCTTACAGATTCTGGGTTTGTACTGCAGTGAAATCACATTCTTGTGAGACAGCTGCCAGATAGCTCCTTGTTTGAAAGATGTAGACAGGGAGAAATGTGTGTCAGGGCATGTATAAATAAGTTCTTTATACATTTTCACATGTATCTTCTTTTTCCCCCACAAGTTGTTCAAGATTATTAAGAACTTATTAAACAAACGCTCTCAAGCAATAGAAAAAGAGTTTGAAGACTTAGATGAAATGAACTCCCGGCGCCTCACTCAGGAGACTATGTACTTTCTCTTGAAGCGGTAAGGAGATTTGCTGGAGACTTCTTTCAAAATACAGGGCCAGATCCTCTCCAGGTGGTGATTTTCATGGAGCTGTGTTCCTTTCCATTAGCTGAGGACCTGGCTCAGAGGGATTTTTCCACCAAAGAATCAGTCATTTGTCATTGTATCCTCCTACTGTTTTTTGATTTAGACCTGAAGTCTTTACTCAGTAAAACTCCTGAATACATTGTGACCTCATTTGTAGTTTGCTGAGTAAGACTGTTAATATATGGCTAGTAAATACAATAACTTTCTACTTTTCCTCAAAATATGTATTATTGTTGTTGCTGCTGCTGTTAATCTCATTACATTTTTTTCTTTCAATGTTTTGAAGAAAGGTTTGACATCCAACCTGAAATAACTCGAGGTGAAATCCGCAGGCTGTGGGAAACTTTAATTACAAATCAGGATAACACCCTTGACTATCTGGAGTTCATCAGACACTTTGGCTACTCCCCCAGCTCTGCATGCTTTCCCAATGCCAAGATTAGTCCACCCAGAAAAGGAGACAGTAACCTCAGGTTGCGTTCTAAAAATCTCAGCTGCGATTCTGACATATTGGTGGACAGGGTGCGAGCAAAAGTAAGCTATTCTAGTTTAAAGAAGTTACGCACAAGGGCTTTACTTCCAATACTGTGTGTGCAGTTACATTCCTAACACTAATTGCTAAGTAGTGAATTAATTTCCAAAATAGGTACCTGGGTCCCAAACAGAGAGCTGCAAGCTTTTTTTCTTTAAAATACATGATGTGTCTTTTGTTATGTGTATTAAGAAAAAAGATACAATCAGCACTGTGGAATAGCCTCCTAACACAGAGTGTCCAATGGTGGGCAGTGGGCCACACATGACCCATGAGGGGTTAAGGTGCAGCCCCCGGGTTCCCCCTGTGCCAGGACTCCTCTAGGTTCCCCCCTCCCTCCTCCAGCTGCCACTTCCTGCCTCTGCCCCAGGGGTGGGGCAGTGTGGCACACTGCAAGGAGCTGAGGGTAAATCCAGTGCCCCATGCGGTGGGGTAGATTGTAACAGTACAGAGGGATCGTGCCCACATGGTATAGCAGTGGGGAGGTGCCTGTGTGGGTGTTCAGTGCAGTGGAGTGAGGGTTTGTCCACATGACCTGCAGGCCTGTGGCCTATGCCTCACCTAGCATGGCCTGAGTGGCATGAAGCCCCTGCTGGTACAGCCTCCTGGGTGGTTAGAAGCTGCCAGCCTTGACCTAGCAAAATGAGGCTGAATTTAAAGGAGAGAGCAGTACAGCAGATTTCTTTTTCTTTCCTAATCAAAGGGAACTAATGTGATATGGAAGTGGGAAGCAAATCATTGTCTCTCTATGCGCAGTATCTATTTGAAATGGGCTGTCAGGTTCCAGGTCTCTGTATGGAAATACAGTGCTGTTATGCTGACTCAAGATGGTAACTAAAGTATGAACCAAATAAATATGTAAGGATACATTTTCAAATTAATTTTTAAACTTTAAAATATTTACCTTATTTTTTCAAGAAAAAGGAAAAAAACATGTGTATGCAAGAGCAGAACTTGGCTACATCATTCCTTTTAAATATTGTCTTAGGTATGTAGCTATGCTAAGCGCCTTGTTACATATTCATTTTGGGTGGCTCCTAAAATTTTTAACCCCTGGATTATCTGCACATTAACATCTTCAAGTGATTTAAAGCATTTGTAATGCGGCTGAAAGTTACACCACTCCAGGGCAGGATTATCTGTTGATCCACATAACCCAGCCCCTATTCCATTAAATTGTGGCCACTCCTCATAGATGTGCCACTCATGTTGAAGGTGTAACTGCAAGCTAGCACTAAGTTGATCACCATTTGTATGGCTCGCAGTGTAACCTATAACAAAGCCCTAAGTGTAGAAACTGTATTGGAACAGATCTTCTCATTTATGCCACTGAGGTGGGTGGGGTTATTCTGAATATACAGACTTGTCACCAGGTACAGAAAATCTTACTGCTGACTCCACAACCTACTGCCTTTAGAACCAGTAAGCCTGCCAGAGGAAAAGAGCAGGAAATGCTGACTTCTGTGGGCATGTCTACACGTTCATTAATGCGCCATCATCGGTGCTACTGTGCATTATTGCAGATGAATGCTTTTTAGGTGAAGCTTAGTGCCCATTAGACTAATCTGTGCATTAGTGCATTAGCACAGTTTTGTCTGATGCGCTAATACACAGAATTAGTGCAATGGCCATTAAGTGTGTCATGTAGATGTGCCCTGCAAATTGCATGAGGACATGGCTGAGTAATGCTAGTCAGAGGACTGGGAATAGGTTCTGAACACAGCGAGATTTCAAATGTTTTGTTTCTCTAGGTGGAGTATTTATGGGATGTTCTCAAGAAGGAATTTGAAGAGCTGGATCCCCAGCATACAGGCTTTGTCACCAAAGAAGAATTTAAGGATATTTTGACTGAGCTGTGTGTGCACCTGAATGAATATGAATGTGAAATGCTGGGAAAGAAATTTGAAAGCGATGGGGATGGTTGGTGAGTTAAATCTGGAGAAAGGTTAAAATGAGCTGGTCTGTAATAATCTGTCCTTGATCAAAATGAAGCTATAACAAATGGTCTATAATACTGGACAGTATTAGCTGTGTTAAATGTTGTAGGTGGCCCTATGGATTAATGCACCCCTTAAGACAGAAAATTCGTGCTTAGGTTCCTTGAATTCCTTGTTCTAGTTCCAACTGGGTGTTTCTTCCAAACTGCAAAACCTAAGATTCACAATTTCAAGGAATGTGCAATGTCTGCTGAAAAGCCATTCAGAGGTGAATTGGTTTAGCAATTCAGGCATTGGCTGTACTGGTAGGGTTCTTTTAATAAATTTGTCCAGCTCCTGCATTACCTGTATAATGGCTAAGTTCTAGCCAGTGTTCTTAGTGCATCACTACTGAGCAGCAACCTGCATCTAAAACATAATATTTTTTAAAAAGAAAAAGCAATATTGTTATTTCATCATGAAGCCTTTTGTGGCCTGTGTATCAAAGTCTACTTTTTCTTCAAAATGTATTCCTTTTAGAGGAAAGAGAAGGAGCCTCCAGAAAAGGTCTGCCGTAGTTTTAAAATCAGAGCAGACAGAACACTTGGCCTGAATAAAATAAATCCCAGGAATCTGAATATCTAAGCCATGTTTTGCACTCCATGGTGCACGACAAAATTCTCCTTTGGATTGGTTCAATAATTCTAACTCCCTATCCGTAAAGTGTCATTTCTCCTCTCACTGCAGTTTCAGGGTTAATACTCAATTGCAGTGATTCTCAACCAGATTGTCTTGAGATCCTTTTATGAGTGATGCAGGGTGCTGCACAATACTAGCACTGTTAGCTGTGCAAATACTATAATTCATAAAATAAACCCAATGATTTCAAGTAGGAATCCATATTATCAAAAATATTGTGATTTGTTCTGGTTTTCCTGAGTTCTTTACAACAGAAGAATTGCTCTATTATTTTTTCTGTATTTAAAAAATGAGTGAAAGCTAAGCACTGGCATTTTCCAAGGGGTGCCTTGAGTCTAACAAGGTTGAGAATCACCAGACTAGAGGTGATTCACAGTTTTTGTGGGTATAGTTGTATAGATGTGTCCATAGAGGCAAATTCTGCTATTGTAGATATAATTTATATCAGCAGAAGAGTGTTTTGGCCTGTATAATTTATGCTAGATCCCTGAGCAAAATAAACTACACCTGCAAGAGTCCCTTAATGCCAATAGATCTGCAGCAACACTCAGGCTTTTGCTAGTATTGAAAAACCCCACTCATCTAACACTTCTATCCCAGTAAAAGTGTTTAATATTTAGTCTAGTTTGCTACTATTTCACTCTCTGATTACAGACTCACAAGACCTATTGGTTACATTCTCATTTTTAATGCTAACTAAACATTTTTATTCTTAGCTAAAATAATCTTACATTTTAGAAATACAAAAAAATGTTATTTAAAAATCTGCCAGATGAAACAATGGACAATCCCATGAATTGTCATCAAATTGTGTGTCATATTTTCCACTGTTACACTGTTATATACAGGTACAACTTTATGCCTGACTTTTGTGCTAAAAATCACTTCTTTAGGTTTCCTTAGAATCATAGAATCACAGAAAATTAGAGTTGGAAGGAGGTCATCTAATCCAACCCCCTGCTCAAAGCAGGACCATCTCCAGCTATATCAACCTATCCCCAAACTATATCAAACCCTTGTTGTTGGGTTTTGCCCTGTATATAAGCAATGACTTATATTGTTATGAGTCAACAAATGAATACTGTTATGGGCAGATATTGATTGGCCATGTGTAGAGTTGGTTAAAAATTGAAATTTAGAATTTCCCATGAAATGAAAAAAAATTTGTTCATTTTATAATGAAAATAGGTGTTTTGAAATGCTCATGGAAGGGAAATTATAGATAATATTTTATTTAAAAATTATTAAACAAAATTGACACCTTCTGTGTTCCCAGCACTCTCAACCCAGAGGGCTCTCTGAAAGACTGAAAGAGAGCTAGGAACTGATGAGACCTGAGAATGATTGATTGCTAAACCATGAGTTTCAGAGGGTGGGAGCTAGGGTTCCTAAAGCCTTCTGACTCTGCAGCAGTGAGTCTGGAAACCTGCAGGTTCATAGCTTTGAAAAAATCTGCATGGCTGAATCACCCTGAAACGGGGACCCTGGCCACAGGGTGAAGTCTGCTTGGCAAAGCCATGGACCTTGGAAGACTGGGTTTCCCAGCAGCCTGGCAAGTGACCTTCTAGGGAACCCTGTAGGTTTCTGAGAGAAACCAATCTGTGGTCTACTGGAAGTTCATCAAAACTGGAACATTTCTGCAGAACACGTTGGTTTCAGTGATGAGCATTTTACAGTGAAGAATGTTCAGTTGAAAAATTTCCAGCCAGCTCTAGCTGCACATGTGTTGAAGATGATGGAAAATTTGGAACATAGAATTATGTAATAATTCTTAAACTGATCTGTTTTTGTTTTCCTTTTTGGTTTATTTAAGTGTTTCATACTTGGAGTTTCTGAAGCCCTTTGCTTTACGGAGACAAAGGTGGAAGAATGGGAATAACATGGCTGCTGTTATGAAGGCATCTCAAGATGAGATAGACCAATCCCAGATGGGAATGCAGACATCAGAGCTGGGCAGTTTGACAAGTAGACTGCGAGAAAAAGTAGGTGGCTGTCATATGCTGTGTGGCTAGTTGAATTACTGTAAATTGTGTTTCCTAGAGAGAAATAGTGTGAATTCTTCTCAATAATGAATTGCTTATATATTAGATCTAAAAGTGCATAATCATCTGTACTACAACCTAAGGCTAATGTACCTACCAGCTGATAGCCAGACATTAAAACACACTCAGCAAACCATCAACAGTGCCTGGTATAGTGACTGTACTTGTTATGTCTGCAGATTGTATGACTATACCAAGGGTGGATTCCTTGTTCTCCACAGGCAACAGACTTATGAGATGAAGGGGAAATTCTTTTTTGTCTGAGTCTGTATGATGAAAGAGAAACTTATCTTGTCTTAATGTTGGCTTTCTAGTTTCCCATGGACTTTGTTGGTCCCTTAGAAATATCTAAGATAGTTAAGATAGATAGTTTAGTAGGCAAACATAGGTCACCTGCACCTATACATACATAATATTTTACTAGTAGGCAGACCTTTCAAATTTGAGGATGTACCACTATTATTCATTCCTAAGCATATTTTCCTTTGACATAATCCTACACAACACCTTACTGGAACTTGCACTTGTCTAGAATGAAATGACACTGGCAAAGAAAAATAAAAGAAAAAAGCATAGTGATAAGCGCAGGAGGAGGAAGTGCCAGTGACAGCATCTCCAGTGAAGGTTCCAAACTATTCAGGAAGTGTTCCAAGCCACTCGTTAGCAGCACAAGTAGGAGAAACTCCCCTTGACAATGACTTTCCATTGTGCTTTTGTGAGAGCCAATTATAGCTGCGTTCAGAGCTCAAGATCCTTACACTTGAGTGTCTAAAGTTATATTTCTAAGTCTTTATTTAGGTACTTGAACAGCTGATTTTAATTTTCAAATGTGTTGGAAGAACAGAAATCTCTTTGGCTTTAATGAGATAAGTGGAAACCCCAAAATTTTGAAAATGAGACCATTTATTTAGATCCCTAACTATTGATATGGGAGACTAAACTCCAGACCACCATTTTTGAAAATCTTTGTTTTAATGTTGTTAAAGCGTGTTGAACTCCTTGGTTGAAAGAAGCTATCAAAGATCAAATTACTATTACAGCTTATGATGTAATACATTATGAGCTAGTGACGAACCTTGCTGGTGTGCTTTCCCATTGTGAATGTGCAGGTATATGCAGTAAAACAGACTGCAGCATAACCTCACAGTTTCGTAGTTCAGATGAAACACCAGAAAGGTCATTGTGCCCTCACATAGTTTGTTTATTATTTCTCTGCAGTAATTCAAATCATTTGCTTTTTTTTCTAGTTACGAGGGGACTGGAAGACCCTTCGAAGAGCCTTTAGGAAGCTTGATGCTGACAGCAGTGGTTACCTTTCTCTACCAGAATTCAGATCTGTCCTGAAGCTGTGCAACCTTCTGGTAGATGAGGATGAGATTTATCACATTCTGTCTAAATACGATCCCAACCTGGATGGGAGAATTGATTATAAGTCCTTTTTGGAGGAAACTTGTAAAAAAGGGAAACCACCTGCAGCCAAAAAATCCTCTGTAAGCCCACCATAAAATAATATAGAATATCCCTGTGACTAGGAGAAGAATGACATCTGCATGCTCCCAGCTGCTTATCCTTCCAGCTGTTTGCTTCTCTTTGGGGTGTGCATCTTTGCTTTGTGTCTTTTGGCTACTTATTACTTGCCCACTGTATTGTAAGTTGTTTTGTAGGGGGATAATAGAAGCATATTCTGAGAGAAGAGAGCCAAGCTGAGTATAACACAATTACTGTACTATATTTAAAACACAATCCACTCTGTTACTAAGGAAACTAACATTCTGAAAAGGAGAGGCAATGATGCAGCATAGAGAGATGCAAATAATTTTTTTTTTAGAAAATGAAATATTCAGTGAGATGCAGGGTGGATTTTTGCTGCTTAGGACTCCACGACAATGGTAGAGAGTTCCTTTGACCTTATCAGGAGTTGGATCAGATCCTATGTAGGCATTTAGCCAGAATTTGGCCCTTAATGTAAACATGGATTTCCATCCTTTTCTTCTTCCTAAAGGAATATTTTTATCCATAGATTACAGGGAATAGGGGTCAATTCTGTGGCTGCTCTGCTCTGCTTCACTTCTCTGTCACAGCAGTTGTACCTTTAAGATCAAGTTATTTGCCACTTCACTTTTGTGGCATAAAGACATTTTTATGAGCATATGAGTGAACAGTTGAGTCGGTTAAATAAATAAATGGAACCATTAAAATGTATATTATTTGCCTAGTCCAGTATACAGGAGCAAATTATCTAACTTCATTACAGATCCTCCTCATGCAGATGAGCACAGGTCCACTGATTGCAATGAAACTTGGCCAGCTTTCACTAGCTGTGGATATGACCCAGTTTGTCTGCATAAACAAAATGCCAAAAGGAAGGAGCCCTCTTTGGTTGCTTCTACATACTTTCTTCCCTTGGGCCACTCACTTTAGATCCACGATAAAAACATATGCCCTTTATTATCTTGGAAGACAATCACAAGCTTGTGTTAAACTTTTGCTGTATATGTACTTGGGCACCTTAGAAGAAAAGATTAACTTCTGTTGTAGCTCCTGTTCCAAATACTTTCCCCCCTTGACATCTGATATCAAACAGTATTTTCACAGTTTTAAATAATAAAGCTGTTGAGAAAGCACTTTTGCTGGCTTAAAAAAGCTGAAGGAAAAACTTCTACATGGTAAAAAAAAAAAAGTTTAGAGTGCAGAACATGAACAGCTATTATTACACCCTGGTTTAATCTACATTGGAGTATGCAAAAATCAGACAAATGTGATTTCTTTAGTACTATCTAATAATTTTGAATTCTGTTACATGTAATGTAATATGCTAGGTTTTATGAAGATGATCGGTTGTCTTTTTAAATGAAATTTTAACTAAAAAATGGCTGTATAAAAAATGTTTTGTCACTGTTTGTTCTATCTTACTGATTTCTGACAACATTCTCTTAGTTTACAAGTTGGGAAAAAAAGTTTTGATTGTTTGTTTCTTTAACAGATTCCATTCCTTAACACTCCACCTGGGGTTTGATAGTCAAGCTGCATCATTGGCTTCTCACATCTCTATGATGATAAAATTCTGTAGGGCAAATTGTACGGCAGCTATATGTGTGTAACTCCACTATGTCCAATGGTATTGAACACCTGTAACTGATATACCTTAATGAAACCATGTAAAGGTAATTCAACTGAGAGAAAATTTGGGGCCTGGAAAAAGAATTCAGTGTTTGATCCAATAAAAGACTTAGGCACTTACAAGTTAGGTGCTACAGTGCCTAACTTTTAGATGTCAACCCTCCAGAATGGGATCCAAAACCCTGAATTGGGTGCAAAGCCTTCCTATACAGTGTACAGCAGTGCATCTGAATGGGACTGAGTAGTCCAAATAGCTGACTACTGAGCTGCCCACAGGTAGGCAGTAGGGAATTCTACAGAGAGGGCTGGGTCTTAAACTCTGCCTTTCTCCGAAGATTAGGCATCTTCCTGCATCTCTTTCTCAAGTGCTCCATCCATGTAGGATCATCTCCTAAAGGGGAGGCACTTTCATCTGTTTCAAAGGACCAAGGACTTATTTTCTTTTAAAAATACTGGTAATCCTGCCCCCCGCTTATATAATATTCTACTGGTTAAAGCAGTTGCCTCAGAAGTAGGAGAGCTGGGTTCCAGACTCCCTTCAGCTTTGAGCCAGTTCAAAACCATATATCCTAGTTACCAATAAAATGTCCTAAACACCACGCTCTGGACCAGCTTAGATGAAGGCACTTTCTTTCTCTCTAGGTTGAAACTGTGTCACTGCAGCACAGAATTCAAGATAGATGGGGCCAGAGGGAGAACTCAAGGGGGGCATGTTTCTATAGCCTATTTATTAGCAGTAGTCAGCTGGGAAGGGCAATCCTGGAGTCCAGGGACTGTTTCTGTATCTTATCCCATGACTGTTTAATTTAAAATACAGAAATCACCCCTGAGTGCCCTCACTACTAGCTACAGAGGCATGCTCCCTCTTATATTCTTTTCCTCTGGCACCATGAATCTACATGCATTTGCTATGTGGCTGTACAATTTCAACAAGAAGAGTGAAGAGAATCTACTTTCCAGCCTTGGCTATCGTCTGATCCTTTGGGCACTTTTATGTGAAGTAGAGATGGGGATTTGATCCCTCTAGACTAAACAAGGCCTATATTCAAGTCTCCCATTTCCTGGGTAAATGCTTTAGCTATGAGGCTATTACATGAAAAGTCAGCATCACCATGGCTACTACATAGTAGGAAAAAGTGGTTATATCTATTCTGTGAGGAGCTTGATCCTGTGAGTGTGTCAGGTATGCTTTGAGCCTGCCTACCAGGCTACATCCTTTGCGAGACATAGGCAGAGGAACACGTAGTTTCTGTATCCCAATTGGACTTGATCAGGATATAGGTGCTGAGTTGCTCAGATTGGAGCAGTTCTAAGCATACAGGGCACATCTAGACAAGGTGCTTTACTGCTCAGTAGAGCTAACTGCTGCAGTGTCTGCATCTACATGTGCAGATGCTTACTGCGCAGTAATTGGCTTTAATCCTAAGTAAATTTGCTACCTACAAATGCAAGTAGCAAATTTTCTCAGAATTAGTAACTGTGCAATAGCGCACATGTAGGCCCCTGACTGGGAGCAAATGTGCTCCCAGTCAGCTGGGTAGCAGGGGTGGGAGATTGCAGGGGGGCAGCAGTGGGCGGAGGCATGCCACTGACCTGTCCTGGTCAAGAGCAGGTCCCAGGCCTGTGCCCTGATCAGATGATTGAGGCACGGGGCTTGAAAAGAGCTGCAGGGGTGGAGCAGGTCCCAGCTGCCTGCCCCAAACGCCAGTGGGCAGCTAGCAGTGAGTCCCCGGCTGGGTGGGGAATCCCCGCCCAGCTGGGGGCTCTCTGCTAACTGCCTCACTAGGGATCAGGGTAGGGGGCTGGGACCTGCCCGCGATCAGGGAGTTGGGTCCAGAACCTCCCTACTGCCAGGGCAGGGGGACATTGTCCTCATCCCAGGAGCAGGCAGCCCTCCAGTGGCAGGGAGCAATGTCCCAGCCCCCACCAGGAGACAGCTGTCTCCTGGCCTGGTGCTCCCTGCCAGCCCCTGGGCTAGCACCAAGGGGGAACCTAGAACTCCCCCTGGCTGCTGCAAGGGGCTGGTGGTGTAGGGCCAGCGGGGGTGAGAGCAGATTGCTGCCAGGAGCAGCAAATCTGCTCCCAAGACCTTGCACATTGCTTGGGAACATTTACTCGCAAGTAAACTGCTCCCAGGTCAAATTCATGTGTAGACACACTCACACGGAAGCAAAACTCCAGGCACATTGAGAACTTCAGAGTGAAACAGTGAGGCACCAAATGAGTTTGGACGTCGTCAGGGTTAGATGGCAGCTGAGTAGAGATTTTTTTGGATCACAGTTATTTACTGCAGTGCCTCAATTCCACCTTTGTTCTGGTTTAGATTCTTAAGTCCTTTATTGAAACTAACCCTTACATAACAATTCAGTCTGCAGCACGTGTTGATTCTGCAGTTACACCCCAGGGAATTATGCAACTATGCACCTGAGCAATTTTGCTCATAAAACATATGACTGCACATAATTGCATAATTTAACCCAGGCAGGCTCTGTGCCTCCACCCCCATGGGGCTCCTAGCACTCCAGTTGGGAGCCCCAGATGATGGCACTGAGAATGGTGGTGCATGACTGGACAGCTGGTGAGTGGGGAGGGGAGATCCTGGCTGCAGAAGAGGGGCCTGGGGTTTGTGGGTGGGCATGTGAGTGTGTGTGTGTTGGTGTGGGGCTTGTGGGTGGGTATGGGCCCCCATGCCCCACCAATGGTGCATAGCCCCTGCTGCTGCTGGTGATAGCAGCAGCAGCAGGCAGTAGACCCTTGCGGTGCTTGTGGCTGCAGAAGGCAAAGCCCCTGGCAATGCACAGCTCTGGCTGAATCCTGGGGCTTCACATGGTGGTACCAAGCTAGCATACCTTCAACCCAGACCTGTTGGTGTATGCCTTCGACTCAGGCTGGCTCTGTACCAGCCCTTGGGGCTTGCAGCACTGCAGGTAGGAGCCATGCAGCATCGAGTTGGGCTGGCCAGCTCCATGTCTCCATTAGTGGCTTCCAGCACTCCAGCGGGAAGCTGCACATGGAGGCATGGAGACTGCCAGGCCTGCTGGTGCACAGGTTCTGCTTGCAGTGCTACAAATCCCATGTACTGCCACAGAGCCAGCTTGGTCTGGTCTGAAGGTGTGCACCAGCAGGCCAGGCTGGGCCAGCTGTGTGCCATTATATACAGCCCCTGAGACTCAGTGCATAATTTTGAATTTTTCTGCACCTAATTCCCTGGTGTGTATGTAGTGCTCACAAGAATAAGAAGTTGTAAAAGATGTGACATTTGACAGTAGAAGGATCAGATGTAAGACTAATTAAACACCAGGGGCCAGAGATATGGCTGGTCTAAAATATCCTAACATGAAACTATGCCAGCTTACACTAGCTGAGACTCTGGCCCTAGGAGCATATTTGTTGAGTAGACAATGGTTCTGATTCCACACTGAGCTTCCTGCACTGGAGCAAAGCTCCTTGAATGAAGGTGCCTGATCCTTTTCTTTTTTTTTTTTACACATTTATTAACCAAACTAGGATTGCACTTCAAGGTTTAATATCATTTAATAATGATCAATTAAATTACCTTTAATTTTTTCAGTAGATATGTAAAATATGTGTATTTTTGTTAAAAAACCCATTTATATTTAATCTAACCATGCTAATTTTATACAAGATGAGGTACCATGCATGATGAAATACCATGCATGTTTAAAGGTTTTGTATTGTTGTAACTTAAGGGTTTGTTTTACAGGATGAACCTGGATGTGAAGTTCTGAGGTTTGATCACAATGAACTTTCTAAATAAAGTCTCTTTCTTCACATTTGGCTCTTCAGTTTAATCCAATTGCATTCATCTCTCAGTGCAGCATGTAGGTCAGTATGAAATACACCCGACTGTACCTTGTACATATTGCTCTGAAAATACATCTGATGCATTTTACCACCATTATATGCTCTCTAATAAAAGAGAAGCGAGACTGTTGTTTCTGAAGCAGCCTTGACTGTCTTAGTAGTTCTGGATGTGGGTTTTCTAGAAATGGACAAATGGTAAGGGAAAAAATATGTCCCTATTTAAACCAGTCATCTTTGGGTTAGACAAACTAGTTGTAAACATTGCAAGATTAGGTTCTGCAGCTAATATATGATGCATAAGTAAACTGTTGGCCACAAAGACCAGTTCAAGGAAACTGCCTTGTGAGCAGAGTATATCTATTCCAAGAGCCCAGGTGCATAGTACAGTATAGTACAGTCCAGTCCAGTACAGACTCTTCTTGGAAGCAGCTGATATCTTCCACCTTCTGCCTGTCCAGGATACAGGGAGGCATTTTTAAAGCACTTCTTACTATAATCTCTGTTGGTTTGTCTTGGAGAATGAGATAGCAAGAGAAAAAGTAAGGTTGTAGCACTAGCTTAGAACCATGCTCAGTTTCTTTGCTCTGATACACATTTCTTGTGTGACTCTGGGCAATCAATTTAGGTCAAGATACTCATGGCTATTTGGCTTGTTAACTCTTCTTGACCACAGACATAATCTCTCTGTCTCAGTCTCCAGTCTTTAAAATGGGTCTAATGGCACTATCACATCACACAATAATATTGTAATGATTAATATGTAAATAAAAAAGTGAAGTGCTTGGATGCTGTAGCCTGGGGTCTCATGTAAACCAGCCAAAACACTGGCATTCAGATATCATTTACAGAACTCAGAATGGAAGAAAAGGCTGAGTTTGGATAATGCATGGTGGAATTTAATTTCAATAGTGAAATGGGGTCATAGTGCCCATTCTCCCAGCCTTCTGATGGCATTGCTTGTTTAGGATGTAAGTATTTCAAGGTAGCAAATGGGTTTGCATGGACCTAAACATATGGGGCCCTTATCTTAAGCCCATGGTGACCGTTAGATGCCACCATGATACTAAAACTGCTACTAAATTAGTGGTTTGGAGATGGCTGAGACAACACAATGCCGCAGAGATAACCAGTGACTCTCTATTGCTTGAATAAATAATCAACAAAGATTGCTCACCAGGTATGAAACTGTCGGATTGCATTTTGGCACCCATCATCTGTAAAATGGATCTTTGCCTTGTACATTCATACCTTGTGGATAACGGATAAGCAAAGCTGCTGAGAAATTACTACTATATAAAACTGGCTTGAGAGGTAAATGAAAAACTTGGTTTTAATATACCTGAGACTGGACTGAGGACAGGGAAGGCAAGAAGAGCTGAACTAATAGGAGCAAAAGGATGGGAAAAGTAAAAGGACAATACAGGGGCTGGAAAAGGGAGAGGAGGGAGAGTTAAAAAGGGGAAGACACAGAGAGCTAGAAAGAGTGGGGCTATCAGCTGAGGAAAAGGAGAGGGACATGACTGAGGCAAAGAATTAGTCACTGCCATTTTTAACCCAGCAGATGAAACATGGCAATGTTTTGCAGAAAAAGTCCTTAGATGTATCAGCTGGAGCAAATACAGTATGTTGAGTTGTCATATCACAAAGCAAACATTAATAAACAAGCATATCAGCTGGGGAGTGAACAGTACCTAGACGTGTCCTTCATTTGCAAACAATATTATCCAGCTCCTGTATGCTTTGATCTAATGTGTTTGTGTTTCTCTCAGGTGTTCTCAGAAATGTCCAGAGTTCCTTCTCTGAACATGAAGATATCCAGAAACTGAGATTAAAATCACTGGACTATCATCAAAATATTCATACCTCAGCAAGTAGAAAATGGCTGGACAGTGATATGTGAACTACTGTAACATTGCCAAAAACGGAAGGAGAGAACTCTGTATGATCCATGAACACTAGGGCAGTGTCCTTTGATACCAGAGAGGGTAAAGCAAGTGAGTGATTGATTCATCCTGCTTCTGAATGCATAAACCACAGTCTCACGTTATTATTACAAATAAGGGGTCCCTGGAGTTTAAAAAGGTTGAGAAGCACTGACCTAGATAAAAAAAAGGGCATCATATCATACCTTTAAAGCAGGAGCGACCAACCTGAGGTACATATGTCACAAGTGGCATGGGCAGGCTCTGTATGTGGCACATGGCAGGCTGGGGTGGGGTCAGGAAACTGAAAACAGCAGCATATTAGGCAGGAGAAGAGGATCAGAGTTGCACTTGGGGAAGGGGCAGAGCTTGATTTTGGCATGCCTCCCAAAAGGATTGGCTTCACTGCCTTAAAGGTCCCACTGCTGCATGGACTCCTGCACAAGAAGAAGTCTGCATGGAAGTGTCAAGATGCTTTGGGAGCATGTGCGCTGTGGGGGTATGTGTGTCTCAGGACATATGAGAGATGTCAGAGTGGGATGTGACTATGAGGAACAAGACTGTGTATGTACCAATGTAGTGTCTTTGGGCATGTCTGGGTGGTGTTTCCATATGTGCCATGGGAATATGTATGTGAGAGAGAGGTGGTTATCTGTGTGCCCTGAGAATGTGACAATGTATGAGGGAACAGGGGGCACACATGTTGGTATGTGTTGATATCCCCCTATGCACCACAGGAATGTGTGTGGCTGTTTCTGCAGGTTCCTTTTGTGTGCACAAGGCAGGAAAGCATGCATGTGCCTATGTGCCGGCTCTGTGTGCCATGGGAGAACATCAGTGTCTTGGTGATGCCTTCATGTGTGCCAGGCTCAGAAGAGTGCCTGCCTGTGCCTGCACACTGTGCACTCCATGCTTGGCAGAGGGCACCCAGCAACCTCCTTGCTAAAACCTGCTGCACGCCCATTCTGGGGGTGGGGGAAATGCAGGGTGGGGGCGTGGGGCTGAGCGCACAGCAGAGTGCAGAGCGCGGGGCGGTGTTTGCTCAATAACGCATGAGAGCACAAGTGAGCTCTGTATTAAGAAGACTGCTGGACGTGGGCTGGAGGCCTCCTCTGAGGCAGAGTCAAGGGGATGGCTCGCCCAGGCTCTGGCAAGGAGCTTTGTTCCTCATGCCTGTGGAGAGAACCTTTGATTTCATGGGGCTGATTATGTTTATCCTTGCCTACTCAAGGATGAAGCCCAAGAAACAAGAGGCTGTCCTTTTCAGAGGCTCCACAATGGGTCATCTCCAGCACAAACCACTGGGAGCTTTTCCTAGGCTTTAGTAGGGGCTTTCTTGGAAACCAGGGCTATACAACTCATTTAAAGAGAGAGCGTGGGGAAAGAGGGGGTATGAAGCCAGGCACTGGGGACAAGGGGAAAATGCCTTGAATTCACAGTCTTGTCCTGATCAATCCCCTCCTCTGCCTGAGCCAAGGTTATGCAGCTCCTGGGCAGCCAGGCTGGCTCGAGGTTTTGGGGTTTGTGGCTTTGGGGGAGAGGTTTCAGACACAGAGAGACTCAGAGAGGGAGAAGAGGTGGGGGTGGGGAGAGACTTTTATCCTAGAGTCATTGTCAAGCCAGAGCAGGGTTTATCTTTTACAGTGAAATGAAATAAAATCCAAGACCAGCAACATGTGAAGTACAAAGACTGTCATGGGCCAATGCAAGTTTGCAAAATTATATGTAAATGACCCCAGGTTTGACCATGGTGGCCTGGTGCTAATCCCAGAAAGAAAATCTATTTAGCAGGGGAGAAAAGGGGGGAGGCTAATTTGGTTAAGGGATCAAAATGTTGAATATATTAATGTTATATTTCCAGGAAAATACTATATCTTGAAATGCTTTAATGCAAGAGGGGATTCAGGGCAGGTTAATGCTCACAGAACAAATAATAATAAATAAGTAGTGTAAGACTTGCTTCATAATCTGCTGGTGAAACTGAATGTAGGATGTGTATTTTCATAAGAATCACCAGACATCCTTCTGGTGCTGAATACACTAGGATTCTGCCAGATTGCCTTGTGAGAGATGCATTTAGATATAGCTACTCGTCCCTCTGCCCTTGCTTGGATTTAAGGTCTCAGCTCTCTCTCGAGGAAATAGCGATTTCCCCTTCTCGCAGTCCCCGGGTACGTGACCTCGGCCGTGTGGAGGCGAAGGAGCCAGCTTCTCTGTGTTGACAGTCTAAGCGGAAGACCCCGCTCTACTTTCTAAGCATTGTCATGAAGATCTTTTTGTGTGTGTCTGCGAATAAAGGAGCTGCTGGTTTACAAATTGCGGGGCAGCCCATCCCATGACCTCGGTAAACAAGCCGGGGCAGGTCTCCCTGCAGCCTGCGCTTGGCTGGCCGTCCCAGGGCAGAGCGGCAGGGCGACCGCCTGCTTCCCCGGGCACCCCGCGGCTCTGCGCTCCGACACGGCTCAGCTCTGCGGCGTTGCTGCCCGGAGACCGTCCGCGTCCAGAGGCCGCTCGGGCCTCCGAGGGGCGCTCGTCTCCCGGACCCGCCGGCCCGCGGCTCGCCCAGGGGCGGGAGCAG